GGTAAGGGGGGCGTGGGGGGTTTTCCACCGCCAGAATACCCAATACTGCAGCTGATTGGCCATAGTCACTATTCAGCTGAGAATTTTCCAACCGGCTCCTTCCAGAAAAGATAAATACAAAATGGAGGGGGTGCCGCTGGGGGCCACGCTGTGGTCAAATTTCAGCCAACCCAGCAGGACTATTCAGCCGGTGTGTGTGGCCAGTCTTAGTCAAGTCAACAAATGTAACCGTTCTAAGTTGTAAGTAGAGGTGCACCGAAATGGAATTTTTAAAACCGAAATAAAAAAATTTTTAAAATAGAAAAAGAGATTGAGAACACAGAGTCCTCAATCTCTCTTTTTCTGTGTCCCCTGTTATCAATGAACAGGAATCCTCTATGAGTGTTCCTGTTCATTGATAACATGAGGATATGGCATGTTTACTATAACTACAATTATGAATGAATGGGGGTGATGTAGATCATAATCCTCAATTATGTCGGAGGAGAGATGCCGCAGCTCACAGCGCTCTCGTCCTGACTCCTGCAGCGCTCGGCGGCTGTCACTTTCTTTTCTCCCCGCTGGAACAGCGCCCAGCGGGGAGAAAAGAAACCAGGGATGACCCGATGTATCGGCCGAAACATGGCTCTTTCGGCATTATGCCAAAAGTGCCATTTTCGGCCGATATGTTTCGGCGGCCGATATATCGGTGCATCCCTAGTTGTAAGTATAACAATATAAATCCTTTTTGTTTTCATTTATTCAAACTTTCCTGATGTCAGGTGTACGAGGGTCTGAAGCCCACCGACAAGTCTGAGAAGCCCCTGGACTACAGGTCAGTCTGAGAATGAATCCAACAAACACTCATCTGCATTAGTAGCCAAGATTTCCATTCCCTTCATAGGACCCGGAAATCTAAACCTACGAGACCTGCAATACAATACACAGCGATACAGCCAAATAAATGTGTTTGGGAGACGGATTTTAGGTCACTTTTTAGGTTCTTGAAGGAAATCTGAACACTTGGGACGGGGTCACCAACCTTTTCCACATGTCATAGTCACAAGTACTAGATCACCCCAATTCCTGCACCTTCACCCCTCAGATCACCCCAATTCCTGCACCTTCACCCCTCAGATCACCCCAATTCCTGCACCTTCACCCCTCAGATCACCCCAATTCCTGCACCTTCACCCCTCAGATCACCCCAATTCCTGCACCTTTATACCTCAGATCACCCCAATTCCTGCATCTTCACCCCTCAGATCACCCCGATTCCTGTACCTTCACCCCTCAGATCACCCCAATTCCTGCACCTTCACACCTCAGATCACCCCAATTCCTGCACCTCCACATCTCAGATCACCCCAATTCCTGCACCTCCACATCTCAGATCACCCCAATTCCTGCACCTTCACCCCTCAGATCACCCCAATTCCTGCACCTCCACATCTCAGATCACCCCAATTCCTGCACCTTCACACCTCAGATCACCCCAATACATACAAACCCTCTACCTTTAGGAACACAAGGTACCCCTGTAGGCATGCAGCGTGGCACCTTCTGCACAGCACACCAGCATTCTCATCTGGGACAGGCTTTCAGTGACATCATGGAGGTGGGTGGTCCAGGCTGTGTAATTGACAGACTAGTGAGCTGCCAGTTTTAGACAATGGCAGTGGGCACCAGCACAGGTGACATCTCATGCCTGGGCCAAGGGCTGCCGACATCCAGCTTACAGGAAACTCAGAAACATGGGGAGAATATACCAACTCCATCCAAAGAAGGGCCCTGGTGGAGTCCAAAGTCAGGCAGAAGTGCTCACCACTCAGCTGGTGTGTGTGTGCGGTTTATAGATGCTTGTGCCGGGACTATCCCCCCACGGCGGAGCCTACCCCCCC